CGGGGCAGGACACCCAGTGCTGCCATCCCAGCCGCCCCCGGGGTGCTCCGTCACCACCCCTGCGTGGGCAGGACGAGGTGATGCTAGAGGAACCTCACGGAGCTTCCAACCTACCGGCTCAGTGCAGCCACCCTGATCCACAGCAGCCCAGACCTACAGAAGCTGGCAGTTACTGGAGGTGGACTTGGATAGCTTCTACAGTTCCATCTTCTGCTTAAAGTTGTGAAAGTAGTTGCACGTGACTGAAACTTATAAAACATTACTTTTTATTGAAGTGACCGCATTCCATCTCTCCAAACTCCAAACTAAAAAGTTTTATAAGATATTTCTGGCCCAGAACCTAATTGCTCTGGTTTTGCTCAGTAGTCTGGGGGCTTTGGGGCCAGGCTTGCTTCACATGTTAACGCTGGACAACATGTGTTTGAGAACACAGCATATGATATGACTCCAGGCCAGCAGGGATGTAATTCTTCCCACAGTTTACAAAATCTAGAAGAATAAGAATTAGCCTACAGCTGCAGAGGACGTAGCTGGAGATAAGACGACTGTATAAACATTTACAGAGTGAACTAAGGTTATTCTTTTACCTGACTACCGCTGATGATTGGTATTGTTTTAAATTATTAACTATCTTTTTCTTTCTCTACCTCTACATGTACTTTAAAAGTGATGCATAGCTGGAGCTGCAATAGGAGCATCCGCAGACCTCAGATCAGCAAGACAGCAGTGGTGCGCTGCACCGTGGATTGGAATTTTGTGCTTTGCTGCCATTAGCATTTGCAATCATAACAGCCTTCATAAACCTTTTGAGACAAAATGACCTCTCCTGTATGAAATAGCACAGCAAGTCATTCGAGCGATTAATTAGCAATATTTCCATACAGGAAGGATGGCAGACAGCACGTACTATTTGACATCATCTTTCAGTTTTGTGGATTTATTCGCAATTAGCTGCATGTCAAAGACATAATTTTCACTCTCCTGTTGTCCATATGAATTAATATACATCCCACACGTAGACTGAATCCATGGAAAATGCCACTCCTCTTTATCCGGCATTCCCAGTCAGCTTGCCAAATTCTGGGCCAGAAACTATGAAGTGAGGACGATGGCTTGTGCGATCTGCAGCAGCCTGTCTTTGTCTTAGGGTGCTTTGGGAAGGGAAATGGGAACACAATCCTTGCAAAACCAGCATGCACGTGTTTTCCTGAGCACTTGTGGTTTGAGAGGGACTGAAGACAGATTTATGTTTCACCATTATCTGAAAGCCTCTGAGTTCACAGCAGTGGATGCTTCTAAGGTACATGGAGCTGTGCAGTTCCTCTTGCTGTTCTCAGGAGCTTACAGGATTTTTACCTTATCGTTGGGGAATTTTGTTCTTTTTTGTTCTCTGTTTTAAAGTATGACCTCCACATTCTCTAGACACTGCTGCTTAATACAGTTAGCCAGAAGTGTGTAACTTCCGTGGCTGGATGAGGTCTATGTGCAGAAATGTTGCACACCAGCACAAGAAGTGTTCACACATGGCCAAGTCCCCACAGTTTAATAGCTGCGGCTGGGGACTGAGCCCCTTGGACTTCTCAGCGTGTTCTCTCTTCACTGATGGCAAACGTGCAATAATGCTGCTTAGCTAAATTTTCTTTCACTGCAGACCAGGCTAAGTCGCATTTGCAGTGTGCTGGAAGCAGACACATGGGCAGAAACCTCAGCTCAGCTGACTCATGGAAACTTGGTGAACTGTGGTAACTTGTTGCTGAGCCCTAATCCGCAGACTAAGCCGAGTGAGAACATGGCCGTGGCCGTACATTTCTCAGCACATGTGAACCGGGGAACACGGTGACAACTGGCAGGTCCCTGGGGACACGTGGCGGTGGGGAGGGAATCCCCTGCCTCAGAACAAATGCCCTGAGCTCAGTTGTCTCCCTGCTTTTAAAACTCTTTCTTTTTTTTTTAGCAACACTGGTGAAGATGCAACGTGATAGCAATATAGCGTGGTCAGGATTAAGGAGGCATCCTTCAGAAGAGTTTCCTTTTGAAGCCTCGCATACGAGCACCAAGCAAAACAGGCGGCAGGGAAGGCTGGCCAAGACCTCTCCTGAACCCCCACCACACCAGCTCCTCCTTTTGTCTTTCTCCCCTTGGTTGCTCGGTTTCCTGCGGTGAGGTGGTCCTTGGGCTCGGGAGTTAGGTGTCAGGTAACTGGTGCGAGACCAGTGGAGAAGGATACTTTACCCTCCCTTTGCACAAGCACTCTTTGCTCTGTGTCTCACTGAGTGGGATCTCACGTAGGAGTCTTAAAGTGGGGGAAGGCGGTTTCCTTGGTATCGCGGGCAGAACTTGTGCTTAGAAATGCAGAGAAACTTGGCAAGCGTCAGACAGTCGAGCAACGCTCAGAGCTGTGTGCGGAGTTTTCCACTGACTGTGCAGCAGGCAGATAAGATACAAAGCAGTGGTACGTCAGACTCGTGATGTGATGTGCTCTCAGATAGGGCTAGACCAGAAATGGCTCCTGCTAGCTGAGCAGCTCTGTCTGCTGTGTATTCACTCAGAGGCGCTGACAAAATACGCTTTTAAATACCTTCAGCATGAGCATGCGTCTTCAGGAGTAGAATAACTCTGCTCTTTCCTACATATAAGCAACAGAGCTGCTCGTGCCCCAGTTAGGAGTCAAACAAACAGCTCCCAGGAGGAGCATAAGGCATTTACTCAGTGTAGCTGAGGGCAAAACGTTGCCTGCAGGAACTTCTTCCTGGTCGTGGTAGACGAGAAGAGAAAGCTTTGATTCTCAAAGCCCAGGTGCCATTTTGCAGGCGGGCCAAGGTGAGAAGAACAATTGTGTTCTAAACACATAGAGGGGAAAAAGCAGCAGGGTTTGTAAATTGGCAAGGAAACCAGTGACACCAGAAATCGGGACCATCGTTGAGGGGCTGTAGAAGCTGTTAGGTGCCTCTGGCATTCAGAACAGTGCAACAATCGGCCAGATGCAAAGTCAATCTCCTCACCCCTTGCAGAAATCATCCCTGTCTACCATGGGTGTCTCAGTTAGCAGCACCCCTTATTCCAGCCTGGCTTCTGCTGCTGTTGCTTCCAAACCATCCATACTGAGAAGCTGTTTCAGAGGGGGTGGATTTTCACAGGATAAGATATAAAGCTTTTCAGATACACTCTCCAACTCCTAACAAGTAACAGCTGGAAAGGTCAGATGTCAGGGGCTTCTTGCAATGTACAGATTTTATTTTCTCATTGCTCCCATG